CCTGCGGGAGGTAAAGGTCTGCCCACGTGCGAGCACGCGCCCGAAGATGGGGTCCAGTTCACCAGAAGGTGCACAGAGTTATCCTAATGCCGAAAAATCTGTAAAGGAAAGCATAGGCTATAGGATACGAAGCTAAATGCAGAGCAAGCAAATAGCTTCGCGGCAGCAACGAGGGGTGGACGCCGAAGCGTCCGGTAACACGTAGGAGCCGAGGTGATGTTTGCCGAGGGGTGGCTCCAGTCAATCTCTTTAAAACACCCTCGGCAAAATTCCCGTGATTGAGACATCACGGTGACCCCCTTTGCACTGTCGGCTAGCATGGTGCCACTCACAGAGCTCCGGGCATCATGGTGTCCTCTAGGCGTTGTCGGCATGATGGTGGCCGTTACGCGTTACGGCATCACGGTGGCTATCTTCGCGTTATCGGCTGGCTTAGCGCCACCCGCTGCACCCCGTTGGTCTTCCTGGCCAGTACAATCCTCCCTTCCCTCTGAATTAGCCAGGAAAGGCTAGTTCACCGCAGGGAGAGAAGAGAGGAGAGTCCTTCCAAGTTGAATCCTGGTAACTTCGGATAAGGATAAGTCCGATATGCGAAGCTGAGCTTCGCCTGGGCTATGAGGGGAGCCCGGCCTGTGCCGACTAATGTCGACTCGCTAACAGTGTGTAAGCAGGTGCTGACTCGGGTGAGCTTAAGCGGGGTTTACACAGACGAGCGGCTCGTCGAGCCAGGTTCGACAACCACATGTTTGAAGTGATGTTCGACGGTGTGAACGGGATATTTGGTTGTAGAGCGCGCTCGTCGAGCGGCTCGATGAAAGTAAGATTCATCTTGACTTTTGTGGGCGGGGCTTAATTGTCCAATGTTTGGTTTGCGCGTGTGAACGGCTGTCGAGCAACGAACCTCAGTTGTGCTTCCAACCTACTAGGGGGAACATATTGGAAACAAAAACATTCGATGTACTACAGTGTGTGAAAGCAGATGGAGCGGCTCGTCAAGCAGGCTCGACAACCTGGCTCGACGAGCCGCTCGTCCGTGTAAACCCCGCTTTAGTCCTTACCCACCGTGGTGCCCAGCCACAGCATTAACCTCTAGGCGGATGAGAGGCCGACACGTTACCACTGTTCTAGCCCGGAGGCTTTAACCTCGGACCGTGGCCGTAGCTATATGTGTGTGTGTGTGTGTGTGTGTGTGTGTGTGTGTGTGTGTGTGTGTGTGTGTGTGTGTGTGTGTGTGTGTGTGTGTGTGTGTATCGCCCCGCCCAGGCGCGAGAAGTTGCAATTGTCGCCTGGAGGTTACTGCTGTGGCTGGGCACCACGGCGGGTAAGGCCAAGTCAGCACCAGCTGACACACTGTTAGCGAGTCGACATTAGTCGGCACAGGCCGGGCTCCCCTCATATCCCGGGCGAGGCTCAGCTTCGCATATCGGACTTATCCTTTTATGTGTGTGTATGTGTGTGTTTGTAGTGCATCGTTTACTAGATGAACAAGGGAAGCGCTATACGTAGGTTACTAAAGAAAGGAGAAAACAGAAACATAAGGGTCTGGGAGGTATTCTTGTGTACTCTGAAATGGCGTTAGAGCTATACCTTCCAAAAAGGAAAATATTGTCAACTTGAAATGTACAGTACAGCAATTCTTGGCAACTATAGTGAGGAAAGAATCCGGTGTTGGTTAATGAATTTTCGCGTTTAGTATCGGAGCTATACTTTCATCTCTACGATAATGGATAAAAAAAGTTAATTGCTATTGCTTGTATTCATGTATTTCTTACGAAGATATAATCGAAACCGGTCAAATACATATCTTGAATTCATTCCTTTTATACTTTTGCCAGCATGAATACGGTTCATAAATCATATGTAATGCGTATGTATCCAATATTTGTAGAAAGTTGTTTATTATATATGTTGTTATTTAGTGGCAGTGGTATAAGTCACCCCACACCCACTGACACTCATAGGCGTTTATGTTTCTATTGAATATATTTGTGTTCGCATTTTCCAAGAAATATTAATTCGTTTTTTTCTTCTTCTTTTTTTTGATTGCTAGAACCTATCGACCAAATTCAGTTGATAGATTTTTTTTTTCCTACTTACTGAAAAAAAATCACGTTAATGCCTGTTAAGGGGTCATCCATAATTATCAACATTTTCAAAAGAGTACAAAGAATACTCTTTTTTGGGACCCCCCTCCCCCCTCTCAAAGAGTACTTTGAAAATGTTGATCCTCGAGCATCCCTTTTGCTGCAGTTATTTCCTCACTATTTATGAACCGCTGATAATCGTTTGATGGGTTTTTGTGGACAATGTCAGTCCTCCTGGCCAAGAACTTTTGAAAAGTTTCAAGATCACAATCCTCATTGTCCGCGGCCATTGTTGTTTTTGAGAATGGGGCGCTGTATGCATAGCGGTGGAAAATGTAACTATGTCAGGCGGGAGAAATTCTACAGAACAGAACGATCGACATTTTTTATTCTTTTGAAAAGCGTACATGGATCATTAACCCCCTCCCTCCCAGCGTACGCTTTGTACGCTTTTGAAAATGTTGATAATTATGGATGACCCCTAAGAGGAAACAGCGAAGACTGAGTTTACTGCAGAGGTATTTGATATACCCGAAATATGCATGAAAACAAATATTTTTTCTAGCTGTTCTTGGTATCAATATTAATGTCGCCACATAGTCTCAATCGGAAATGCTTGAGCATGGCAAATCTGTGAATAATAACGACCTCCCTCCCAAAAAAAGGTGCTGAAGAGGTTCTCGTTGCAGCTGTGATGTGGTGTAGTATAGCAGTGTAAACCTCGCAACATTGTGTGACCTATCTTGTGTAGTGCATGTGTATATATGTATATATATGTGTGTGTGTCCCCCTCCTTAAACTAAGGAATCCTCCTCCCCTCTTTACTCCATCTGACGAGTGGTCTCTCCACAAGAAGGAAGGAATGGGGTTACCTTCCTTTCTTTTGGTCTTCTCGGCAAACTTTCCATCCTCATTTTACCATCTTTTTCTTGCCCCTCTCTTTCATTTCCAATATCCTGCCCTTTGACTTATTTTTTTTTTGGGTACGTTTTTAGAAATTTGTTATTTTTGTTATTATCCCGGGGCAATCCTCCAGAAAACTTACAATAAAATAAACACACAAAAAATGTTACACACACAAAAAAAAAACGTACACACAAAGAAAACTTACAAGAAAAAAAACAAACTTGCTAGCTAACACGGAATTCGTTTTTTTATAATTCTTTCATTTATATAACAATAGAAATAAAAGCTAATTGTGACGACAGTGACTGTAACTGCATTAGGGAGAATTATATGTAAACGTAATTAGTAAATTGGTTAAGATGTAACTCGTAAGTTAATGGAATAGTAAATGTTATATAAATGTTTCTATGTCACTAACCGCACTGATAATCATAATTATAGTCGTTTCTAGTGCTAATATCAGTCGCATCAGAATAAATTATGTAACTATAAAGATTGTTATTGTCATACTTATATTACCATAACAGTCATAGTAACATCCTGACACACAGTAACAGAGAAAGCCATAGAAATCATTACAAAAATTATAACGAGATAGTGGAAAAGTAGTCCAATCTACCGACAAAAATCGATCAGTTTCATTATCATTATATCTTATGATCTTATCCGGATATCAATGTTCCATGACATAGGGCTGTCTAACTGCCGGGGATGAGATCTAACAAAGGTGTCATGTTGTATATACATCTGCCGCCGAAGCACATTTTCACGTATAATGTTCAACTATTTAATATGACATGTCATGTTTATATATATATATATATATATATATATATATATATATATATATATATATATATATATATATATATACATATATATATATATATATATATATATGTACATATATATATATATATATATATATATATATATATATATATATATATATTTATATATATGTATAAACATAACTATATATGCCTATGTATATATATGTATATAAATAGGTAGATAGATAGATAGATAAATAGATAGATAGATATAGACATATATAGATATTTATATACATTTATATATATATATATATATATATATATATATATATATATATATATATATATATATAGATAGATAGATAGATAGATATATAAACATATTTATACACACATACACACACACACACACACACACACACACACACACACACACACACACACACACACACAAATATATATATACATATACACACACACGTGTGCTAGTAGGAGTGCATGCGGACACACGGGAAAGAAAGGCAACTACGCATGTTGAAGCAGGATCTTGTGGGAGAGCGTTATTTTTCGCTCAGAGGGCCACATCTTCAACTCTGATAACCGAGAAAACAATGAGATGAAAAAAAAGATTGACAGAACGAGAGCAAGTGAAGATAATGGCGTAATAAGAGGAGATAGAAACGAAGTATTGATAATAAAGTGTTAAAGTGACGACGGTCTTGCATGCGCGGCCCTTGTGAACCCAGGCACAGGGCTCTGACGTGATTGGCCAGCTTCGAGACGTGGGGTTAGCGCCCTTCTCATCTACCTTTCCTTTTCTTCCTACATCCCCTGGCGCAAACAGGAAGCTAGGGTAGTTAATGGAAATCGAACATTAGCGTTTTTATCCCGCCAACCAGGATATTTGGAGAACTAGTATTATCGACCAACAAGGTCACTGAGCTTGATCTAGACACGTAGGTTGCATCATGGATTCATGGTTTGGGTTATAAGAAGCATCTGCGTTGCATATTACATTCTGAAACTGGGTGTTGAAGTGGGGTTTGTAGGTTATCTGCTTTTGCATTTGTATGGTAATGAGCATTTGGGAATTTCACACACATACAAACACACACACACACACACACACACAAACACACACACCCACACACACACACCCACACACACACGCACACTCGCACACACTCCACGACCAGATATCACATGGGCATGAAAAGAAAATGAATCGAAAGAATTCAATCACAGTTTATTATCTTCATGTAACGCATATCCAAAGCCAAATAATCATGTAAGAATATTCCTTCAGAATTAATTAGCCAAGAATATCTAATCACAAAAATTAAACCAACATTATATTCAAATATGCAAAGGTAACCAAAAACGAACATAAGAGAGAGAGAGAGAGAAAGGGACAATTACATGTAGTGGGCAAATAAAAAAAAAAAGAACAGTGAAAGGCTGAACAACAAATATGTCATAAATGCTACGCCTACAATACGAAATCACGTACCTATGGCGGTAATACACAAAGCAGCGTAAATTAAATGCACTTTTATCCTAAAAATGGCACCAATGTAAACTTACAAAGTATATAATTTCATCAGTTAGGTGTATTCTGACAAGGTATCTCACGCGTACACGCGTCTCAATAACCCTATGCAGACACTCATACACGGTCTAGTCAAAGTATATACATGTAAGTACTCTCTTTTCCTCTGCAAAATCAATGTTTATTCGTTGGACTGACTAGAAACCGGTTTAATGCTCCACCAGATCCGTTTCATATGCATGTCCGTTTTTGAGTCACAGACAAGCGTTATCTGTCGTTTTACAGACTAAAGACGAATTTTCTGCAGTTTCCTGAGCGAAGCGTTCTCTCTAGCGTACCGCGCTATCACTGAAGTATGGCGAGTGAGTTCAGCCACGCTGGCGTCGTGCCCAAGCCGATACAGGTCCACTCCCTGACGGTACCGCAACATGTTGATTCCATCGGGCAGCCCACCCCTAGGGATGTCTTCGACGAAAATCGGCACGACCGTCACGAGCTCCAGTACCGCTGTCATAGACGTCAAGGCGGGGAGCCTCTCCGAGCACAGCGCCCTCGACATCAACACTAAGACAGTCGTGGTGTTGCGAAGCATCCGCTCCCACGCTTCGAGGACCTGGTCTCCCAAGCTGATGCTCCACGAGCCTAGGACGACCACGTCACTCACGCTGCTTTCCAGCTTCCCCCGGATCAGCCTGGCATGGTGCTCGTCTGCCATGGCGTGCACTATGACGTAATCGCTCTGAAGTGTGTGCTTGATGTATTTACCCCTTCTCCTGTTAACATGTGGCAGGTGAGAAACATTCCATGACTAAATGATATATCTAATTCTACATGGACGAGCAAATTAGGTCAGATATCCTAATTAAAAGCGGTAACTTCAAAAACATACATACCATACCATCCTTTCCTCGTGGGGCGGCTGAACCTCGACTGCACGCGGGGCAGTCTGCGTGTTCCCGGGGCCTTTGGAAGGGGCGGTCTGTGTCCGTTTCCCCAGCATTATGGCGATCTTCCGCAAGGGGGGGTGTAAAGAGTGTATCAAGATGGACCTCATCCTCATCAGGTGGTACTTGAAACTGCTTTTCTGACGATTCTGTGGAAGAAGAATTAGAAAATTTTCAGCATGTCAATACTATTTTTCAAACCAGGTTTCATAAACCATGTCGTGCAAGAAACTACATTCATGTATTTGTATAATGGACTAACCACTTTACTCTCTCTCACTCCCACACCCCAACACTGGCAATGGACGACAGCGTGGGCCAAGTCGCCGGCTTTGGGTCTCTCTTGGTCTAACTTTTTGTTACAGAGGAACCTTCTCCTAACTATGTCTAAAATGCTCACAAGCCTCAGTTAGCAAAGAATTTTACCTGTCCCTGTTTAACAATCCGCTCTTGCATTATTACCACTTTCCTCTATTAGTATTCCTTACCTACTCTGTAACTTAGCCGCTAACCCTTTGTCTATCCAGTACTGTGATTCCGCTCCCGTTCAAAACTTAGTGCTCCTCCAACTCTATAAACTAATTGCTGACCTTTCTCATCAACAGGTCTTCTGTATATCCACCGTTGTTATGCTTCTCAGGCGCCACAATCGAGTCTCGTCTCCAAGAAAATTCCTATGAGAAACGGATGAGATTCTATCCCAAAAAATATATCACACTTATTCCTTAAGGGTGCGACATACTGAACAATCTGAACGAGTTGAATTGCCAAACGCAGTAGGTTCTTAGAACGAGTGGATCGTTAGAACAAGTGGACTGGCAAAACAAGGTCGATCTTTCAAAAGGAATCAACAAAAGGGGAATTTTCGTGGTCGAATTTTAAATGGTTATTTCAGCATTGCAAAAAACAGTTGAAGGAAAGCATCCGAATTCTGTAGAAGCACCAGATATGATGGGATATGAGGAGGAAAGTTACAAAGAGTAATCAGAAATACATGGTTACGAACAGGACACAGGTGACCAGATTCACATAATGGATCAACACTGTCAGTGATTTCTTATAACACAAAATGAGATACAGATATAAATTACAGCATAGACATGAAATCGAAGACTTTAATTGCTGCATATTTAAGTAATCCAAATAATTTAATTTAGTATAACAGCTCAATACAGCATAGACAGAAAAAGACTTAGGATACATCTAGAAGACATTATATGCAGCACTGAAACGACTGGGACAGCTGACAAAAGCGACGGCAACACTATCTGTTCACACTACCGAAAAAGTTGATCATATTTGGGATTATACACTGGGAAAGCAACAATGACATTGCTGTGAGTATATTTTTATATATGTTATTTATATAATTTTTCATATCTCATTTCCATCTTATTTCTATAATATTTATATATAGATCTTATTGATATCTAATTATATCTTATTTATATAATATTTCTAGGCCACTGTGAGTATTTTATTTCCCACACAGCATGATC